CGGTGGCGCCCAGGGAGGCCAGACTGGCCCTCGTGCCCGCAGCCCCGCCTGCGGTGGGCCGTGGGGCTCCGGGAAGGCCACCCTCGGCCAGACGCTGCTTCCCTCGCCTGGAACAGCCTCGTCGGGACTCCGGGTCTCCGCCCGCGGCGCTGAGCGGGTCTCCTGCCCCGGGGCGCAGGGGCAGGCGGCCTGGGCGCCAGGAGGGACTGGCCAGCCGCACGGTGGAGCCCCAGGCTGCCTCCGAGGAGGCTGCGCTCCCACACCCTGGCCCAGGGAGCCCCCGGCTCTGGTTGGGGGCGCCCTCGGGTGTCTTGTGCTCCGGCTCCTGGTGCTGGACCGGTCCTGACTGGCTCTGGTCAGCGGTGAGTGACCTTTGCTTGCTCCCTCTGGGGAGGCAGCTGTGCTGGAGGGGGGGTTCTGGCCCCCTCGGGAGGGGCCCCCCTGCCGTCCTGCACCCCGGGGGTGTGGACAGTGGCACGGTCCTCAATGGCGGGGACACCCGGCTGCCGGGGCCAGCGCCTTGGGCCCCGTACTGCCCTGCGGCGCGCTGGGTCCGGCTGTCCCCTCTCCGCCCCCAGCCCTGACTGAGCTTTGCCTCCCAGAAGCCACTGCGGAGCCTCCAAGCAAGCGGGGTGTCCAGCTTGAAGGAGGACGGGGCAGGATCCACACCCACTTCCTGTCCACCTGCTGCTCCCGCAGCGCCCGCTGGACTTCCCTTGCTGCCCGGCTCAGCCAGGGGCCGGCTCGCTCAGTGACCGGCTCTCCTCCCGCCTACCTGTGGCCCGCCGGGGTGGAGTGGGGGCTCCCTGCCCACCCCCCAGCCCCCGTCCGCAAGTGCGCGGAGCAGACTCGCTGGCAGTCGGCCAGGATGCTGCCGTGGGGGCCTGGGCCACCTGCGCACCGCAGGACCCCAGCGTGTCAGGCCGCCCAGCGTGGACAGGAGATGCCAGAGCTGGCAGCTGTTTTATTGACAGTTCGCGGGTGCAAGAGCTGGAGCCGGCCACAGCGCGGGGGTGGATGGAGGTGCACGGGGCGTCCCCAGCGGCTGGCAGCCCCCCATCCTGGGGAGCTCCCACAGAAGCCCTTCTTGCTGGGTGTCGGTCTGGGGGCACGGGAGGGCAGGGAGGAAGCCGGGGTGCAGCAGAC